ACTCAGTGATTTTAGCACTTTACAATTTCTTAAACCTGTCTTCTCTTTTCATTTCCGATAATATTCTTTTAAATTTAAACCCTTATTGAGCATCTTCTGAATTACTGACACAGTATCCCCAAAGGCCTGCTGGATGTCAGCTATATCACCTTCAAATTCAGTTTAAAACCAGTCTCCAGAGTGACTCACTTCAAAGTCAAATATGCCCCTGTCACATCCAAGTTTAAAAACTTTAGATGATTCCTATGCCTGCTAAAGAAAGTGAGCCCTTCCTGTAGCAAGTAACCTAGGAACTCAATGTCAAGTCCTTGAAGCATATGCAGGAATGCCATGGGGTCCTGGACATTTATGACACACAGAAGCTGAGAAACAGACTGATTTGCAGGACTAAGTGGACTCCCAAAGAAAGGGAGTGGATGGTTCACATAGAGAGTATAAATTGTAGGAGCTCCTTTCTCCTTTCTCTCTGTCTCACAAAGTCGTGACCTCCAACACATGCAGCATGTGCATGGGTGTGGGTATGTGCAAGTGCATGTGTGTGTTACATGCAGTGGGAGCAAAGGAAGTGACAGCTCTCCATTGACAGTGCAAATGAAAGTCGTGTCGTCACAGAACTATAAGAGGCTTTCATTAAGAAACAAATGCCCCAAGAATTTGAAACAAGAAAAAAAAATTAGGAAATTTAGTTTATACTGGATAAAAGAGTAACATAAGGTCATTCAAAGAATAATTGGTGGTAATTTGGTATAATAATTTATTTTTCAGCCAAGATTTCAGAAGCAGGAATAAATCATTTAAACATTAATTTTAAGATATTATGGGGACAGAAGAAGGAGTTTGGAAAGTTTCAAAAATGGCAGCTTGCTAGGGGATTGGGCGGAGAGTCTCTCTAGAGAAATCATATTAGATGCTAGAATATGACAACATGGAGAGGGCCAGACGAATGGATAATGATTCTTTTTAACCAAGACAGCATGGCTGGAGGATTTAAGGTTGTTGCTGAGACTGTGATGGCTGATAATGGGAGTCTGCAAATCCCGCGCCTTTAATACAGCACTGACCAGTGGACCCAAGAGGAAAAGCTGTATTGGCTTTTGGTGACTGTTGGAAATTGAGACCCGGGACCCCATGAAGCAGCCAGGGCTTCCCAGCTGCGCTGGAGGAGATTGTGAGAAGCTCTGGAGTTCCGAAGCCGGGCACCGTGCAGTTTTCTGACCATTCCGCGCTGTCAGGAATGCAGTGAAGGCAAGTGGCTTAGTGTACAGTAGACTCAAGAGGAAGACCTGCACTGAGTCCTGGTGAGTACTGGGGACTGGGTCCTGCGGCTGCTGTGGCTGGCTGGAAGACATCTTGAAATTGGGCAGAGCCCACCACAACAGCGACATCAATAATACGGAGACTCTGGTGGAAGACATCTTGGAGTTGGGCAGAGCGCACAGCTCAGTGACATCAGGCAGTCGCCCCTGGCATAGAGAGGTCTGGTGGAGGACACCTTGAAAGTGGGCAGAGGCCAGCGCCGTATCGGTGTGAGAAACATAGAGAGAACTAGTGGAAGACAGCTTGGAATTGGGCAGACCCACAGCCACGGGGACATTACATAGTTGCTCCTGGCACAGAGAGGTCTGGAAGAGGACAGCTGTGATTTGGGCAGAGCCCTGTGCCACGGTGACATTAGCCAGCTGCTTCTGGCACAGAGGGAACTGGCAGGACCTGCTGGGGCTGAACCAAGCCTCTGGTTGGGACCCAATAAGCAGATACAAAATAGTCACAATTCAGTGACACCCACAAAGTATAGCCTAATTTGCAGATTGACTGGCACAGAGGCTGGAGGCTAGCCTGCACCATCCCTGTATCCCTGCCTACCCCAGATAACAGCAAATTGGGTAGGACAGCAAAAACTCAAGTCAACACACTTCTGAAAGGCCCTAAGCAATACGGAGAGGGCCACAGACCCCCAGAACACTCCAGTCTGAAAGAAACCAGAAACATGACAAGAGATAGAATTAAAAAAAAAATCTCCAGCTGCCCAACATGAGAAAATAAGTCCAGGAGAAATAAACACTGAAGAGAACAAACACAGTAACCATCCAATACTGGACACAGCATCAGCCGAAATAAAAAGATACCTCCATGACCTCATAGATGAATTTAAAAGGGTACTCCTGATCCAAGTGAGGCAAGATATAAAGAGATAATTAAAGAAATGACAAGCCCTGCCCAAGAGAACACAGATGGAAGAACTGAGGAAATCAGAAAAGAAAGAGATACTTCTGAAGATGAGTTTAAACATAACTTAGAATACATGAAACAGATCCAAAGAGATTACCAGGAAACTAAAAACTCCATTGAACACTGGCAAAATGCCTTGACAGAAACTAAGGCCAGCCTTTTGAAACTTGAAGAGAGATTTAACATATATGATCATGAAAGAAAAGGCCTCTTAAAAATAACAAGGAACCAGAAAGAAACAATTTAAAGGCTAGAAGATGACAAAAGGATATATAACTTAAGAATAAAGAATGTGAGTGAGGAAGCAGGAGCAACCAAAAATGAAATACAAAGAATATTCACAGATATATTAAAGCAGAATTTCCCATTTATAGCAAAAAGCAATGATATCCAGGTAAAAGAGGCATACAGAACACCAGTTACCTACAACCAAAACAGATCTACACCCAGACATATAATAATCAAGATTCCAGAAATCCACCAAAAAGAACAGAATATTAAAAGCAGCCAGAGAAAAAAAGCAGATTACCTGCAATAGGAAAATTATCAAAATAACAACAGACTTCTCAACACAATGGGGAAGAAATATTCCAAGTCCTGAAAGAAAATAATATGCAGCCAAGACTCAAATACCCATCAAAACTCTCTCTCAAAATTAATGGAGAAATAAGATGCTTCCAAGACAAGGAGGAACTGTGGGAGTTTGTGGCCACCAACCCAACCCTACAGAGAGTGCTGAAGGACATTCCAGAGAAAGAGAGGAAGGGATACCAAGATTCCAGCAACAGTGGCAGAGAGGCCTCAATGAACGGGGCAGACAGTGGAAATAGGGAGTAAGGTGGACAAATTATAGCAGTAAAGTGGAATAGCAAACATGAGGCAGAGACGGTAAGCGATAGGCTTTAGTATGGATAGCTTTGATACACTACAAAAAAAGGCAGAGGTCATTGTTAATAGTGTATCAGGATTTAAAAGTCACAGTAGTCTTATCGCCCTGTTTAGTTTGAATTTAATTTGTTCTGATCATATTGGATTTGGATCCACTCATATTGGATTTGAGGTCACAGACATCTGACCCAAACATAGCAGGTTATACCATGGTAACTATCCTTAATTTCCTATTAACTTGAGCTGAAATCTTGTACTACTTATATTGTCTTACTATGACTGATCTTATTTGAATCCGATTCATATGACTACAGTTTTGCCTTGGCTGATTTTATTTGAATTTGATATGCTTGATAGTATCAACCCTAAAAGTAGAGGCAACTACTCTGAAGATGACATGATGTAAAAGATATCCATACCAGTATTAATTATTAACAGCTGTTAAGTCCTACAATATTTTCAAAGTTGTGTTATTATAAAAATAGCTAGGTAATACTATGTTCAACTATATTAAGCCCAATGATGTGGACAAGACTATGGAAAATAAGAGAAAGCATAGTAACTACGGTAGATCACCTAATACTGTGGTCTTATGTGTCTTTTTCACTGCATGTTTTTCTAGGAATTTGTTTTGCTGTCTAGTTATGATTCATTTCCCCCTATAATACAGAGAGGATAGATATACATGTAGAAATTCACGCATGAGAAGATTCTTTTAAAAAACTATTTACGGGAACAGATTATATAATGCAATATGTAATGAACAGATACTCTGAAGAAGAAGAGACACTAAGAAACCCAATGCTAATTTTGTAGCATTATGATATAAAATCTAGCAATACTATTATTCACTGATCAGAGTGATATTAGTCTAGTCTCTTAAGTTTAGTATCAGCATATGTAAAGATAAGGATAGCTACTACGAAGAGAATGAGAGATGCGATGGTAGTTATTATTGTCTTCCCCAATGTCAGATCTTGAAGACCTAAAAAGCCTTCATCATCCTGTAATTATTTGATTAGTTCTATAATATGCAGTATGTATTTAATGTGTGTGAAGATGGGGACAACTATTTGGAATAAACTAGAGACAATTAGATAGACAGTGAAGATCTCCAGTGGACTTGCTTTGAAATCTGTATTTCCTTAAAGTGTTTTTTTTTAAACTGTTTTGTTCTGTTTTGATATGTTTAATCTTACCCGCTTTAAGATATAAAACAAGTGTGTAGGACTGATATTACTAAGTTTTTGTTAGATCATTGAGCAGAACTGTTGGCAGTGTCACTATTTGAATGTCATTTTGCATATTTTAATATTGTAACCTGAATAGCTAGTTCTAAGATGACAATATGTAACTTATCAAGTGGCAATTTCTTACCATTTATTTTTCTGTAATTCTGTATTATTTCTACCCTTTTTATCTCCATGTATTTTTTTTGTTTCTTTCTCTTTAAATAAAAAAAAAAGATATTATGGGAACAGAGTTCAATTAAAATTAAGAAGCCGTAACAGCTAATATACATGAAAAACATGCTGGAGTCTCAGGTAGGGGATGAGAGAAGCAATCATCTGGCAGTTTGCATTGGATAATGATGAATATACCTCATAGCATTTTTTGGTCATAATAAATAAGACATTTTTCAGAAGACTTTGAGTCTATTTCATTCCACATCTCATTTTTATCAGGATTTTAGGTGTATTCATATTCCTGGATTGGTTATTGGCAAAAATCCCTACTGGCAAAGGAAATGGAATCACCATGGTTGAACTAGACTGATTTCTGTTCTCTAACTAGAGAATGAAGCAAGTCCTGAATTTATGAGAGGCAGTCAGGGACAGATCGAGGAGGACAATGAGAATGACTATCGTGTTGTCTGTTTTCAGAGTGTTTCACTGTCACTTAGAATTGTAACACTAGAGACAAGACTCACGTCTCAAGAAAATGTTTTCGAGTAAGTACTCTCGCTAACTGCTAACTCTCACGTCAGCTGGGGTTTCATTGAGGCAGGGAGGGAGGGCAGTTCTGCCTGGCCTGGTTGCTCTGCCACCCTTTGGGCCTTTGCAGGGAAGGACTGGGGGAGAAGCAGATCATTGGACCACTGGCTTCCGTTGCTAAAATGTCAGAAGTCTTTTTAAATTGCAAACGCAGAAAGTCAGAGTGAGTGCGGAGACAGACATCTCTTTTTTGCAAACCAAGACTGGAAATGTGCTCATCTGCAAATATCTGATGGGTTCACTTAGTACCAAGCGCACTCCAGGCAGGGTGAAATGATGGCCAGATTTAGAGCTAAAGCTCCATTGTTCCTTTGGGGGGAATAAGATTAGCTTGAACAGAATCAGAATTTTAGTGATAGCCTAGAGTAAAACTTTAATTTCTTGAATTACTTGAATAGTAGCATTGCATTGCTATTCATCTCAGAATTAATGGGGGTAAAACCCTATAATTTAGTTACAAACTTTTAAGTTTCTTCTGCTTTGGGAAGTACAATGTAAATAAAGTTACTGAGCTAAATGTGATTTAAGGGTCACTGTGTATAAGTCTTAGCTATTGCTGAGGTGGATATTATTTTGTTTTTGTTTTTTTTAATTTGTTTTGTTTTTTTAATTTTTAGTAGCTTAAAAAGTTTTTTTGAGCTGTATGGGAGGCAGTGAAGACTCATAGATATCCTTCTAAGCAGGAAATATTAAATAATCCCCTCAAACAAACCAAAAACCAAAAAGCCTCATAAACCCTTGACTGATTAGTTAATGCCGTTGATAAGTTGAATTTTACTTAATAGAAATTTATCCTCAGATTGTTCATTGGATTTTTTCCTCCAATCCTGATTCCACTTTCCCACAGCAGCTGTATCAGGGGTTCAGGTGGCCACCGGGGTGCGTGGAGAAGGCCCAGAAGCTGCCTTCCCTCTGTCGCCTGCCCGTGACCGACCACGCTGTCACGCGCAATGGCTGAGCTGCACCTTGGCTGTGCACGTGTGCAGACCTTGAAATTCCTCTTTACCGATGAGGTAAGGTACAGGTTGAAGTAAATTCTCTAAGGTCACACCACTAATGGGCAGGAAAAAATTGAGATTTTTATCACTGGGTTCAGAGTTCTCTCTAAGTGCAAAATAAATCCAATTTATATGGCATGATCCTGGTTTTATGTATTAAATTGAAGTCTCCATAACGACCTTTAGACTTGAGAACATGGTTTCTTTAAGAGCAGAAGTGGTGTGAGCTTTTACTGCTCTCCTTCCTATTACTGTGTTCCACTAAAGTAAGTGTATTAGATTGAAGTGTTTTCTCCTATTCTCTCTCACCGTTTTCAAAGCAAGGCTGGACAGTGAAAATGCCTGCTCATTGCTAGAGGTATAGCTCAGCGGCATAAATGCCTGTCTGACGAGCTCAAGATCCCAAGTTCAATTCCCAGCACAGAAAAAAAAAAAAATCACTGATCATATATGTGGAGACAGAAGGAGGGTAGCAATGCCTCTCTGGAGCCAGACTTCAGGCTTTGGACTCATAGCCCTGATTCCCTGAACCCAGCCCTTCTCACTCACTCCATAACCTAGAGATCAAATTCAGCCAGTAATGGGTAACACATTGTGCCTTGCTTTGTAACATACAAGGATGTAATTTAAATATTAAAGAAGAAAAAAATAGGCATCCAAGCAAACAACCCAGCCTCTAACCTGAAAGAGGAAAAAGGAGATAAAAATTCTGACAAATCTAGAGGCAGACTTGCACAGGATGGTATGATCTTTTTTCCTTTCTTTTTGGATGCACTGAAAAAGCTGTTTTATTTTCCAGTGTTCATCTTTTGTTTCTCGCTTTGCTTTTTTTCTGCCCTCAGAAAAGCTTTTTATTGTAGTAATTGGATTTTTGCTGTCTATATTTTCTTTCCCAGACATCTAAACATAGTCCTTAAAATCGCCCTTCCTTTCCTTCCCTTCTCCATATTTTTCAGCCAAGCTCCCACTTCCATGCTGGAAACCAAAGAACCCCATGTATCAAGAGTCCTTTTGCTTTTATTTCTCCAACTCAATTCTCATTCCACTGCCTGCAAATTTAAAAAACGTTATCACCCCAAAACTATCCTTTCCGATGAGAGGTTGATCATTTAACATCTAAAATGAAACACTTTTTGAGAGTGAAACATGGTCTATCTATGATGACACTATCACAGCATAAATTAGGACCTTCCTTCTCAAACCAGCATCTATGGGAACCCTACACACAGACCCAACTTAGCACTTACCTGATTTGATTTCCTCTGAGCATTGCACATTGAAACTTCCTTTTAAACATGCCTGTGTATCAAAGCACCCATAACCTTCTGGTTGCTCGTTACCATTATTTTGAGAGTTCCTTCTTTCTCAGGCTATTAACATTTTGTATTTCTACAGGTGTATTAATCAGCTTTCTTACTATTGGAAAAAAAATTTGATACTCATAACTTTAAAAGTGAGAGATTTACTTTACTTAAGGTTTGCAGTGGGTTCAGTCCATGGCTGGCAGGCTCCAGCTGAAACAGCATTGTGAAGGGCATAGAGGAGGGAAGCTGCTTACAGCATGATATCCAAGGAGCAAAGAAAAAGGGAGGCGCCTGGGATTAACAAAACACCCTTCCAGGTCAAATCCCCCGTGGCCTGCCCATCCTAACCAGATTCATACTCAAATAGTACTTACAGGACATTTCAGACATAAACCATAACAGAGGATTTATTCCAGACCTAGGGCTTGCTATCTGCCTCTGTCAGTGTATTCATTCTTGTGGTTTCATGTATCATCTTAATGATGCAGACTCACAAACTCACAGCTGAGATTCATTTCTCTTTTACTCATTAGACCCCAGTATCCTACTGTGTACTAAACCTCTTCTTTTGGCTTTTCCACAAATACCAGAAAACTGTTGTGCCAAAATCTCAAACCACATTTCACCTTGAAATCATTCCTTACATCCATCTCATTTCCAAAGCCTGTATCCCACTACGAAATGTCTCAAATCTCAGTTTCCTCTGTCTCCTTGGGTTTTCTGCAGTTCAGGCTGGAACCATTTTGCATTTATACCTCTGTAAGAGTCTTGAAATCCAAGTATTCCCTTCTTTAGTCCAGTTTACTTACATAGCCCCCAAAACTGCTTCTCTTACAGGCAGATCTGATAAGGTCACTCTTAGGCTTAAAATATGTGGAGTCCCTGTTTCTTTTGAAGGGGTGCCTGCTGAATCTGGTTTTTGTTTACTTTCCAATCTTCAAATTTTGCTTTCATGTAGCTCACTGCTAAGTGCATTGAGCTCCTTAAAAAGGTGGCATGTTTTTTCACCTAAATATTTTTCTTAATTTACTTTTCCCTTCTGTTCCTCCTCATCGTCATCTACCTCAATTTTATTTTAAATGTTTCTCCCTGATTCCAAAGCCCTCACTGATCCCAATAAGCTGTTTTCAAATGTTCCTCCTATGAAAACCCTGAAAACCACTGAATACTTCATAGTCATTGCATTGTGATGAGATTGCCTGCTTTCTGTAATTCCTCCCGCAGTGACATTCAGGCAACATGGCTCTGTGTGTGTGTGTTCCTATCAATCCTTAGATTCTAATAGAATAGTTTACACATAATTAGTGCATCCTAAATAGATATGGTTAAATGAACATATTTTAGATAAAAAATAAATGTCAGGTGATCCCTAAGTAACTGACAAACTTCAGTACTCTAACCTTCGAGAGCTATTCCAAGTATAATGATAATATATAAAAGTACATGGAGTTAAAAAAATTTGGGAATGTGAATGAGAAACTACAAAATATATATTTTGAAGGGAATACCAAGTAGGCTGAATTGAGGGAAGATATGTCTGGAATACCATAAACCAGTTTGAGAGCTATGTGAGAAAGAACATGCTAATGGTAATCTAAGTATTATTTGAGAAATATAAAGCTTTCATGATAGCTAACACAAGAGATTGATACTGGTTTTCTGATTACAGCAATGAAAATAAATTAACAGATAAAAGCACGGGTGCTTTACTCTGTAATGCAACACATAATATCAAATACATGTCTTCCATGTACTCATGATTAAAAACATTTGAAAGTTCTTGCTCATTCTCAAGCCAATACCTTTGTTTTGCTCTACATCCAGGAGAGTATAATACTGCCAGAAATTTCCATCCCGTGGAGTCTCCCTGTAACATGACAGCTGAACACACTACTTGAAACTGGTCTAATGCAAATACTTCTGTCTTTGTACTCCAATAACACACTCATACAGTGCTTCATAGTTTAAGGCTATAAACAGTTATTTTGTGGTATTTATTTTAGTCTTTCAAAACTACTAGGTAATTAGGGGAACATTTTATAACTTTTATGCACAACAGAATTGGCAACCCCATATATTAAACACCTTACTCCAGTGCCACAAAATTCCTTAACCTCACAGCTGAAACTCAGATAGGAAGCTACATAAAGTTGTGTAACTTGCAGAAGGCTAAGGGAACAGGATGCTGACATGTTTGCTAGAATTGCATTCAGATAGATGACAGGCTGATTAGACAATCAGGAATAGCAGAAATGGTCTGGGAAAGGTGGGAACCCAAGTTGTCAGTGACTTAGGGAGGGGAAAGCAGGTTGGAGAACAAGCTCAGAATGTGTAAGGGAGTAAGGAAAATGACAAATGAGCCTTGTGCTGGAAAGTGGGAATGTCAAGCTCACCATCACTCTCAGGTAATGAGATGCTTCAATTATTCAATGTCAGTTTGGATTTCCCTCCATTTTCCATGGCAGCCAAAACAGCCATCCTCTAAATCAATCCAACTCTCCCAAAGAATTGACACTGTCTCCTTACGGGTGGCTGAGACCACAGTTCTAGCACTGCTGAAAATGCAACCCTAATGAACCAAAGATTCAGGCTTTTCTTGGGTTTTACTCATGCAGTTGTAAGTATGGTACAGACAAGAAACATTTCAGGATCCCTAAGTGTGACTTGTGTGCCCAAGTACTTGGTTAGCATGATCCTCTCCACTATTTACATCTGGGAAGAGGAACTGAGTCCTCAACTGTCATAATAAATATGCTCCAAAATTGGCACAGAGTAACAGTAGCAGTGCATCATTTCTAAGTCTATTAGAATCAAAGTTGCTTCTAGGAGTGGATGGACTGGAAGAAACAAGAAAAGGGCGGGTAATTTACATGTGCATCGGGTGTGGCTTAAGTTGTACTCAATATTTTTAGCTTAACATGTAGATTACTTGAAAAAAAATCTAAAATTCACTTTATAAATTATAACAAGAAGAGTGGAGGGAAATGGAAGGAAAATCTAGTGTAATAATTAAACAGACTAGTGCTAAAATTCAATCATATGCTATCTGACGAGTCATCTGTAGACCTGCATCTTGAAGGGAAGGTAATATAGAATTACAGGACTTTTAAAAAATTTTCTGGAAAGAAGCAACTAGGGAAAGGATAATCTCCCAGGATGCAGATACCTTGTATTTTTAATTCCTTGTTCATTCAATTACTCATTCACTCATTGGTTTACTCATTTAACAAATACTTATGAATGCTTATGATGTGCAGGGTCATCTGAATGGAAAACAAAAACATCAAAGTCTTAACTCCCGCCAGGAGTGGTGGCTCATGCCTGCTGGGAGGCCAGAGCATGTGTGCTACCTCAGCCCAATGTGGGGGACTAAGCATAAGCTCACCAACTGAGCTATATTTGCTGCCCATTATTGCTTTTATGTTGAGACAGGGTTTCATCAAGTTGTGCGCGTGCGTGCAACTGCTCAGCTCCAAAGAAGTTCATTTTCTAATGGAAGAGTTAACATATAAGAAAACATGTAAAAGTTACAGGATGTTACAGGATACATGTTTGAAAAAAATGAAACAATGACAAATGTGGCCCTGAGAAGAATTTAATTTGATTAGAATACTTTGGGAAGCAGAATTCTGAGAAGCCCCCAGGATATTGCTGTGTACACATCCTGAGGAATACTCTTCCATGAGTGCTGGTGAAATGTATGGATTGGGTGGGATTTCATGTCTGAGGCTGCTACCTAATGTGAAAAAATGGATTCTGCAGATGTGTTTACAATCTATCGGTTAACTTCAAATAAATCAAAAGGAAGATTTTCCTAAGGGAACCTGACCTAAATTGGTGATCCCTTTTATAGAGATGGGAAGCAACAGAAACACGCTTCTCTATTGGTGGTTTGGAAGAAAGCAAACAACCATTTGTGAAGGCCAAACAACTAGAAGCTGGGGGTGGCAGCTAGCAGTAAGAGAAACTCGGTATGACAGCCAGTGACAAACTGGAGGCCTAAAAATATTGGAAACTGAATTACTCCAGCAGCTTGAATAAGCTTGGAAAAAGGCACCAAGATCTAGATGAGCTGAAGTCAGCTGACCTCTTGATTTT